ATAAAGAGGCTCCTAACCAATCATTATCCTTCCTTTTGACTCTGTTTTCTTGAACTTAATGCATAAAAACCCAATTTCTGTTGTGTTTGGTGTGCCTCTTTTGACAGAGGTAGCCCCTTTACTGCTACGCAACAATAAAGGAAACTTCTAAAGGTTTCTCATGTCTGGCAAAGTTATTGGCAGTCGTGTCTGGGCAAGACCCCCATTTTGGGTCCAACAGTGTGTGTGTGTGTGTATTTGTATATGCATGGTATATTTCCCAACCACCCCACTCTGAACTCCTGGTCTACTGCCAAATTATTGCACAAATCACCTTATCTTCTATTCCCACTTATTACCTCTGTGCAATATTCTCTCTTTCTGACATCCCATGTGCGGAAAATAATTGTTCTATGCAGCTTTTTTCAAATCAAGTACAAATTTGTGCACCACAATATGAGAATATGAGTACGTTGCAAATATGTGTAATAAACATCTTAAAATATTTATGTATTTCTTAGTTAAACTATAAAACTAGAAATTATAATAGTATGTCACATACACACTTGTAAGTTGCGCCTTCATCATTTTCGACTTCTGGCAGCTGCCCCCTGAACTTTTCTTGGCAATATTTTTCAGAAGTGACTTGGCAGTTCTTTCTTCCTAGGAGTGAGAGAAGTGACTGCCCCAAGGTCACCCAGCTGGCTTCGTGCTAAAGGCACGACTAGCACTCACTATCTCCTGATACTTGTCTGCTACTTCAACCACTACACCAGATTGGCTCCACGCATACATGCTTACAGATTATAATATAAACTCACTAGTCACTAATAACTGCAATGAATATTTTGTAAGCATTTAAATTTCCTTCCTTCTTTCTTTCTCTTTTGGAATTTGATATTGTAATAAAAGAAAAATTTAGAAAAAAAGAAAAGCATTATACAAAAAGTATTTAGATTGCCCCCTCTCTTTCATTTTTTCTCTGTTCTTTCTTCTCTGGATGCATTCTGAACTTACTTAAGCTTTAATTATTATTAATTTTAAAATTAAATTTTTTATGAAGTTAACAATAATCATGGACCTTGCGCAGCCTGAAACTCAATAGATACAATCTAAATCTTTTTTGAAGAGAGGAGGGAAATGAATTCAATCTGTTTGAATATAATTTAAATCTTTCTTGAAGGGAGGAGGGAATTTAAACCTGTTTTGGAGGGAGAATGAATTTAAACCTGGTTTAGAGGAAGGAGAGAAATTCAGTCTTTTTTAAAGGGAGGAGAGAAATTAATTCAGCCTGTTTTGGAGAAAGGCACTCCTTCATGCACTGGAGGCTCTGGGCCTGGAGCAGGTCAGCCTACCAGTGCAAGGCTGCCTGTATGCTGCCCGGGGAAAAGGCACAGCTCGCTGCTTCAGCTTAATTGCAGCAGTAAGGTTGCTTGGTGCTGCTGCAGCGCAGACCGTGAGGGAACTTTTGGCATGCGGTGCTCCTGCTCAGTCTGCGTCGTAGCAGCACCAAGCAATCTTCATTGCTGCAGTTAAGCCGAGGCATTGAACTTGTGCAGGACTCTTTGCAAGTCATGAGCCTAGAGTTTTATGGTGGTTGGTGACTAAATTTATTATTATTTAGTTTTAAAATTTAATATTATTTGTGGTTTATAATATTTTTATTTTGTTAAATATTTCCCAGTTGCATTTTAATCTGGCTTGGGCGGCACTCAGGAGTGTTGTAAGCCGCATGCATGGGCTGTGTGTTTGACACCTCTGATGTAGAGGGTCTGTATCTCTGTTTTTTACAGAACAGACACAAGAATTCTAGCCCTTGTTGGACTTTAATTTATTTAGATATAGTTAATTATTCTCCAGGAAATTTAAGGCAATATATCCCAAATCCTTAAATAAAATGATTAAACTGTATGTGTGAAACTAATATTTGATTATCTAGTGAATTTTGTTGTTGACTGAAGATAAGTGCTGAAGATAAGGTTATATGAATTAATGTTTAAAATCCTTATTTTAAAGAAATAAGAAATAAGAAATTTCTATTTCTATTTCATTATATTCCTATTTCTATTTCATTGCAAAATAGAATATAAGAATATTTGTAATATAAGAATATTTCTTCTATTCAAGAACATACAAAAGTCATATTAATTTATAAAGCTGTCTCTACTCAGAGGTCCCACTGGGTTTAGTGACACCTGTAAACGTACATAGGATTACAGTCTTTAATACTGATTTCTCACATTTAAGATCAAATCGTTTGTGTGTTTTTGAATAGAAGTGAAGTATTATTGTAAATAATACAGAGTTATTAAAAATGATTAATAAAACTAATTTGTCTTTAGCTGTTCAGTTTCTAGCTACTGTAACACTGAAACTTAATTTAGCTGCAGAAATTGTATTAAGCTTAGTTAGAGTTCCAAAAATGTTAAATAAAATTATTGGCTTATTCATTAAATTTCATTTATGATAATATATTCAAAAGTAGAAAGTAGTTTTTAAGAGTTTCCATTTTTATTTTCCTAAACTGGTTTTTAAAATATGCTTTGTACATTCCAGATACATGCTGTGTTCTGAAGGATCATGGGTTATTATCAATGAAAACACAAAGTATACAATAGTGTGTTTTCCTTACTGCGTTGCACTGACCTTTCAGAAATCCTTTGTTTTTCTTCCTATGTAACCCTGAAATACACATTGATTAGAATTCCTGATCATGATGCTGCTACAGTTCAGAATTATATTCTGTCAAGTTCAGTGTGCCCAGCTCCCAATCCACTGTTTGAAGCATTATAAAGAAATTCTGGTGGCATGTAAGAATATATTCTGGCTTTAACATATTTTTCTGTATTTGTATATATTTAACAGGATAAGATATAAGTAGCAAGAGATTAATGTATATTGGCAAAGTTCATGTACAGTTTGGGGAATTTTCTGAAGATTTTTTTTAGTACCAGAAAACTGCTGTCTCTAAATTCTTCCAAGTGTTTTTTAAAGTTCTGAACTTAATGTTTGCAAGGATTCTTTCAAAATGAGAATGACACAACTGCATATATATTCATTTTTCCTCTGCTAAAAAGCTTGTTCCAAATAGCCTACTTTTTAAAAAATTTTAAAACAATGGTTTGTATTCTTTGGAGATTTCTTTTTTTCTGGTTTTTCAACTCTTAAAAATTATTTATCTATCTAAAAGCAATATGTTGTAGAATATGTTGACTAGGGTTAATCTGTCTAAAAGCAGCAAATAAATGATTGTTCCTTTACAGAAGTTTATAGAATATTGGGGGGAATGACCATGGTTAATGGTGTGTCTGGGAAGTACTTCCAAACAGTGGATGGGGCCAGAATTCTCCCTTCTGTCTCATTAAAACTTGACAGATGGTAGAAAGTTTTATATGAGAGCCAGTTTGGTGTAGTGGTTAAGGCATCAGGCTAGAAACCAAGAGACCATGAGTTCTAGTCCTTCCTTAGGCACACAGCCAACTCTCTCAGTCCTAAGAAGCAGGCAATAGCGAACCACTTCTGAAATCTTGCCAAGAAAACTTCAGGGACTTGTCCATGCAGTCACCAGGGATCAACACTGACTTGAAGGCACACACACACACACACAAAGAAACTTTTATAGGGACTTTGGGGGCTTTATCCAAGACATGGGTGGCATACATTGTGCATCCTTGTTTTATACTTTGATTAATCAATTGCATGTGATTTTTCACTGGCAAATGATTATATTTAATTAATGTTTGGTAAAGGTATAATGAAGAGCTTCAGAATTAAAATGTTTTGGATTAACAGAGGGTTTGAAATTTATTTGTAAGTATTATGGCATGTTTATAAAACTGAATTTGTATAACTACAGAATATCCTTGGCAAGACATAAATTAATGGAATTAATATTACCTTTTCTTTTTTATATCTAGCTATGTAGGAAATCTTTCCAGAGATGTGACCGAAGTCCTTATACTTCAATTATTCAGCCAAATTGGACCCTGCAAAAGCTGTAAAATGATAACAGAGGTAATATGTTCTTACAGTCTAATTTATATGAAATATAACTTAACTTTTAACGTGAAAGCAGTTACTAATTCTGCTATTTTAAAAAATTTCTACTGGGATTTCAGCACTTACATTTGACTGTTCAGAGATAAGCCAGTTTAATGTAGGAGAACTCCTGGGTGAGCATGACTAGGATTATGGCCTCAGTTAATTAATTTAACTGATAATGTTTGATCAACTAGAAAAAGGTATCTTGTCATACACCTTAAAGTAAATAATGTTTATTGACTCTTCTTAGCACCAGAAAGATTGCTTCTGTCTCTTGTAAAATATATGCTTAGTTTAAATATAACTATACTCTTTCTACAAAATAATTCAGGCTGTATATATTATTTAGAGATTACTTTGATTGCAGCATTTTCTTGATTTGGGGACAGAAAAAAATTAAAGAATCTAAGCAATTTCTAGTTAGATACTATAAATATTAGTTATTAGATGCAAAAGCAGTTGTGTTGCAAGTATGGTTGTTAGGTATCCTTATTTGAATAATTCATACCTTGTTAATAGTTTCAGATGAACATCACAATAAAACATGATTTATTAGGATTTAGCCTTGCCTTTCTGCAGACTCATGCATAGCCAAAATATTTCCTTTCAGAGAGGTCAGAACTTCAGAAACAAAGAACTAATATTGTGTATTTGAAAGACTATTGAAATTGATCTGACTGTGGGATTCATTTAGTAATTTTTAGCAAGATGTATCTTCCATCAAAATATTTTCCATATCAGTAAAAAGTACCGTTTATTTTGATATTGTTGAAAAGATAGAATTTGGATTTTGAAGCCCACTGCATAAATATCTGCATAAATGATAGAAATTAGCATTTTCTTTTTTTAAATAATATTTTATTGAAATTTTAAAGTTACAAAGTTAAAAGTTAGAAATGAAAAAGAAAATTGAAAATACAAATTATAAAGAAAAGGAAAAGAAAAAGTGAGATAAAGAAAAAGAAAAAAGATATGAAAAATAGATAACTTCCAATCTATCTCTGGTCTTAGGAATAATAAGACTATCATAAGTGCTAGTTTTTAATACATTAAGTAGGAATAATTCTTTGTCAAAATATATCTTTTATTGAAATTTTAAAGTTACAAAGTTAAAAGTTAGAAATGAAAAAGAAAATTGAAAATACAAATTATAAAGAAAAGGAAAAGAAAAAGTGAGATAAAGAAAAAGAAAAAAGATATGAAAAATAGATAACTTCCAATCTATCTCTGGTCTTAGGAATAATAAGACTATCATAAGTGCTAGTTTTTAATACATTAAGTAGGAATAATTCTTTGTCAAAATATATCCCATC